CCCTTCCCCCTCCCCCACCCAACCGCGAATATCATCCGCACATCGAGAAAATTCCCGGAATATGGAAACCACGTTCAACGACGTATCGACGGGGGAATAGTTCTCATGTACCTCAAATGCACGTGAATACTAAATCAAACTTTGCATTTTTCCCTATATTCATTCCGATCATCTTTATATTATATACAAGATGGAACGTACGCTACAGCGCTGTAATTATAAAAATTCTGATTAAAAAAGTCAAGATTAAATGAGTTCTGAATTCAAATTAGCCGCGTCAGACGATTGAACCAATGAGGAACAAGCGTGACGGCGTATCGATCTATCGATAGTCTCGATGGCTCCTATTCGAAAGAGGACAAACATCGAGATTATCGATATCTCGAAAACCTGTCACATTATATTCCTCATATTCCTCATTGGTTCAGCCGTCTGAGGCGGCTAATTTGAATTTGGAACTCATTTAAATTATCAATTTTCAATCACGATTTTTATAATTACAATCCGCTGTAGCGCGCGTTCGTTCTCGTGTCCTTTCTACAACAGGACCCGAGATACTACCCCTCAAATCCCATTCTAAAATTTTTCTGTCCACACCCTCAATATGGGAGAATTGAGAATGAGAAATAAAAGGTGATTACCAGCAATGGCAATTATTCTACGTGCAGAGGACATTTTCCAATTACAAAACGTCGCTATTAAAGCGGAGTGAAACTCCACTGCGGATATTTTGAAAGGAATATTCCCACCCCTTTGCGGCGCCATAATGAGATGAGGTGGGCGAGACAGGGTTGTGGGAGGTGAGGGTGAGAAGTTGGAGGAAACCGGCGCGATAATGGCTGCCGTTATGAAGAAATCAACCCCCTTGGTTTGCAGAGTATCAACCCCCCACCAACCCTCTCCAACTTGATCTTGAGTTGCCATGGTGACCGCCTTGTCCAATGAGTCCAGTCTCCCACTACAGTCTCCTCTTTCTCCAAATACCTCCTGTGTCTCAGAGTCCAACTGCTTAAGTACACAATTCCCCAGGATTAATGGAAATTTCTCTCTCAATATACCAAAACTTTGTTGACTATGTTTTTTTCTTATTTTTTTTTTCCAGTGACCACCGGCCATTTTCAGGACAATTACGTAATTCCTGGAAACTCGAACTTGATTACTTGTCATTTGTGTATCAATTATTTAGATTATATGAGCGTTAGGGACATCTGTCTGGATATATCTTAAATATATCGCCAATCGTTTTGGCCGAAAATATCAAATATTTAGGGGAGATCTGGGCAATATGGGACACTTGATAAAATGGAATGCGGGGGAATGGGATGAATCAGAAAGATCAATGGAAGATGAGAGGAAAAAATCGATCGTAAGAATCCATTATTCAATATTTTTCCAGAATTTTATTATACTCAACTGATGAAAAAAATGTTCAGTTCCCATATAACATAAATAATTTCACGATCACAAGCGAAAAATGAGATTCAAATTATACGACGAATTTTCAGAGAATATTGGAAAATCAAAAAAGTAAGGAAATGGGAGTATAATTAAAATAAAAAATAAAAAGAAATTCGCAAAAAACACTGGGACATTTTAGACTGCCGCCATTTTTTTGGAGAAACAAAAATGGACCGAGAATGAGTTAAAAACGTTTTTCCGCAAGTATCCCATTTTCCCTGTAAATATATCAGAATATCAGATATATCTCCGGATATATAATTTTTCGCGATGGTACAGCGTGTAATAAATATAAAACCGTATTTGCAGATGAGTATGGGTAAAGTGTAGGTCTTGAAGGTAACAAAAGTGAAGAAAGGAACGGGTGAAAATCATCGAGGAGAGGCGAAAAAAAAAATGAGATTAAGGAACGACCTAGTTCTGAGAAGTTTTGAAAAACTGGAGATGACTGGAGCAATTTATATCCCAGGTACACGTTTACTCACTGGGTTCTCGATTCCAGGGAGCATAATGCCGGGAGGCACACACCACCATAAGAAAAGGTATCACGAGAGTACCGAACATTTTGTCCAATTAGGCAGTGGTGTGCGGACTGTAGCAATGGCTGTATGTATCGGCTGGATGTGCGAGGTGATATGTCGAGTGGAAAAGCATTGAGAATTTCAAATTGATCGATAGAATGGGACAGATCGATCATTACACAGCGTTAATCGCTCTTGAACGACTCTAATCCACCGTGGAGACTGATAGATTCCAAAATAATTGCTGTCCAAGTGCAACGACACGTCGGGGGTGAGTCAATCACGCCCAATCGCAGATGGTTCAGCACATTGTCCGCTACAGGGTGTCCTGGGGGTGAAAAAATGAGCAAAAAAACACACTAAGAGAGGAAAATATATCAACTATACAGGGAAAATTATGGGAAATTGATGATGCTTGGGGTGAAAAAAAGGGTTGGACTATCGAAAATATCACCCCTTTTTCATTAGGGGTTGGGATGGATATCATAATCGTTTTAGGTTTCTTGGATTGATGAAGAATTTTCGACTTTTCCTGATAATTATCGATATTTTTCTTCCCCTGGTGATCACCAGGTGCGTAATTCTGTAATCCAACGTGAAAGGGTGCAGACATCCTGACGTAGAGTTTTCTGTGGCTGAGCAAATCCCCACCCCATGGACTCTACAATAATCCATTAGCAGCAAACTCCTTCACAAAATGTACTATTCCACCCACAACTTCTGGTATACATCCAAGTAAAAAGAATAAAAACGAATGAATAAAACTCCTCAACTACTTATCATACAACAAATTACGTAATGCCACTGATTGAACCGTGATTGCAATAATTTGCATAATTACGCGATGATTAAGAGTGATTAAAAGTTTTGGTTGATG